GGTACGGGTCCTCGTCCACGGTGGAACGTAGTACTTCCAAATCCAACTCCATCGACCTCGGAGCATCTTCGAGAGAAAAGTCTCCTTTCTTGAATTTGGCGAACCAATTCTTGCATGTCATGTAAGAGATGACGTCCTCACCGTATGTATCCACCAGCTTGGTATGGGCTTCCTTTGCATTCCAGCCGAAATCGTGGAGCAAAACCAAACAGTGGCGCAGGTACGTTTTGTCACAGTGCAAATTGTGCGACATTGTGTACTGCAAATGCAAGCTCGGTGAGTGATAGCTAGTGTAATGAAAGAGTATAATGTACACGTCACGCACACGTGATGACGTAATACCAACATCCATGCGAACGAAATAGGAGAGGATCAAACACGTGTATAAGAACTTATGCGACAACCTAATAGCTATCAGGACTTGCACATCTCACGGCTTACATCATTAGCTCGCAATGTGGTGAAAACGGTAAGAGATCATTTGTTATGGCTAAACACTCATTTCGGTTATTCATCCTAGGATTCCTTGCGGAAATCCAGAATGCCTCTAGCGCTTTTCTGGCGGAGATCTCAGTTTCGTACGCTAGGATCCTGCACTTCACATCAAAATCGCTTCCGCGGTGCTCTTCGATTAGATGCTTCCCTAACGGTGTTGTTGTGTTACCACGCCTTTTACCAGCAAGATGTTCTTTGATACGTGTTGCCAGTGGCCTTCCAGTCTCCCCAATGTATGTTGCATTACATGTCTGGCATTCGATTTGGTAGATCACGCCAGCTTTGGCGCAATCTCCTGCTTTACCGTTAGGACATATAACACAATGATCTGATATGCAATGTCTGTCGTAGAGTCTGTTACGTACAAGCTGGCGCCTGATGTTGTCATTAGGGATGTTCACTAAGACCACATCATCCTCCAGCCCTGTCCGAGCCAAACATCTTCGAATTGCAGCACTTACATTATCAGATATGAACGGTATACATAAGGGGATCTTGTTTTGGCCAGTCTCACGTGGTGGCGCTCAGAGTGAACCCTTCTGTGAGTTTGTGGAACAGTATAGCCATTAGAAACAGCTATATCAGCAGCCAATCGTGTAGACTCTTGCCGTTCTGTCACACCTGTGCTCACGTTTGCAGCTGTCCTGAACATGTTTCGGACAACTGCATGTTTCAAGGCAGAAGGATGTGCAGAAGTGGCATGAATCAAGATGTTTTTAGAGCTTGCTTTTCTGTACCACTTCACACTGAGCATGCCATCGGAAACTTTCACCTGCGTATTCAAGTAAGGCAGCCAACCATTGCGGGGAATCTCTCGCGTGAGCTTAATGTACTGCGACTGCTGGTTCATCAAACGATAACACTCATCCATTTCGGATTGTGTTGATGTTACGATAAAGCAGTCATCGATGTACCTGCAGTACATTAAGGGCGTTCCAGTACTGGCTCTTCTATTCTGCTCATGAAGCAGACTGCAAGTACTGGTGCTAAGCGTTGACCCATCGCGAGACCTCTCGTTTGAGCATAATAGGCTCCTGACCATTTAAAGATGTTACACTCTAAGCATGCCTTGATTAGAGTCATAATGTGCGCTTTATCTAATCCAAAGGTCTCCATGCTTCCAACATGCCTGTCCAACATTTCAGACAAGGCCTGTAGAGCTTGTTCGTTTTGGACATTAGTATAAAGCGAAGTGACGTCGAATGACTCCACTACGCAATTGGATGTTAACCGCGTAACTGTTTAAGGAACTTAGTCGTTGGTCAGATGATCAGATGAGGGAACTCTGGTCAACAACTTGCCCACGATGCAATTGAGAAACCATGAAATTCGATCGGTTGGTCCACCGACGCAGCTAATGATAGGTCGAATCTTGAAAGTTTCCGGTGACGTTGACAGCATCTCACTAGGAGCAAGTTTGTGGGTCTTTACAAGGCTGTAAAAGACAGGGCAATCCGGACTGTCGAGTCTGAGTCTACTGAGAAACTTCTCGTTAAGTCCGCGAAGATTGCTGCATCCAAGCACTATCTGAGACGTCTGCATTGAGAGTGAAATTCTCTCTGTCGCTTGACGATACACTGATGAATCCGCCAGGTGGAGTTCCGTGATCTGACGATCAAGGGTTTGTGACACGACCACAAACTCTCCACCTTTATCACTCACAGAGATGCGTATGGTGCCCTTCGATCTTTAGAACAGACAGAATTCCTGCTGACAGGCTTCTTAATTTGACATCCACTTCTGCTACGGGTTCAGTTTCCTTGTAGAGTGTACGTGGGAACGGCACTGATGGGAGTGATCTCTGAGTTGACGTGGTGGAAATCATGTTATTGTCGCGACGGTGTTTTGAACGCAGTAGATCCCGAAGCCTTTGTAAACTTCCCACGACTTTGCGGAATGTTGAAGCACCGATGTTTTGTGCAGGTGAGAAAGATGGACCGAGACTGAGAAAGTCGAGCGCGTTCGAGGACACTTGAGTGTCACCCAAGACAGTGACTCTCACAGTTTCATCACCATTGCGAGCATTCGTGTTAGTAGAGAGGTGGTTCATGGGTGAGCTGTTCCCTACACTACGAGTGTCTTCGTGAATTGTTTCCTAAAAGCCTATCGTATTTCGCACAAAGGGAAGATTTGGCCTTAGACCGAATAGAAGAACAAATTAATCTTGACCCACCCTCAATCCTCCTCCAAGTCATTTCTGGAAGAAGACGCCGGCATGCCTGTTCTTTAGCACATACTGTTTTTTCTTAATCACCGCACCTAAGATAGAACCATAGATTCTCAAAACAGATGGGTGATTATTATCATAACCGCAGATTGTATTGATCTTCGTATTTGTAATGAAGCGTGGCATGACTCCGGTCGTTCTACATCGTTGGAGAAATTTAAGGATTGACGGGTGATGACCACCTTCTGACGAAGCGACAGCGCTTCTCGGACTAGAGAGAAGTATCGTGACGGCAAGTTTTCCAATAGTCTCCAATAGTTTTCTAGAAGTACCGTCGGAAACGCTGGGGCGACAAGGCGTTTGGCGGTGTAGAGAGCAAATTAAAAATCTTGAGCTACGTTCAGGCCTCTGAGGACGACGATCTGGTCGAAACGTTAGGCCGTAAATAAAGTTCCACCTACAAACCTCGTTGGCGCAGAAGTAATAGAATCAAAAGTTACAACAATGCCGAGGTTATACGAAGAGAGAAGTTGGAGACTATTGACAAAATGGCGACTAACCCAAAAGTGAATAAAAGGGCAGAAAAATCAGCATAAAATGCCTCGTATGAAACCCCATCCCGAACCGCGTTCGCACTGGCACAAGGCGAAGAAAGGACGTAATCGGACAATTCTCACTTGTTAGAGGTGGTTTCTTCTCCCTGTCACCTCAGTGTCACCAGTTCAAATGAAGAGAGCTAGTAGCGAAACAAACGCACCACCTACACACCTTTGCAAATGAACTTTACGCGTTACCCTGCCCAGTGGGCTAGGCTACGGCCTGGCATATGACGCTTTTCTCTCGTATTTTTGAGCATTTAGAGATGTGGAAGTATTGGGTCCGTCCATAAGTAATGGCGTTTCTTTCTCACTTGAAATATCGCGCTAAAGATGAAAACTTTTACCATTGAATGTTATCACAAGAATGCTGAGTTGTGGGCAAAAGTCGTGCCCCAGGCGGGAGTCGAACCCGCACCTCACGCTTTCCGGGCGAGTGCGCTATCCGTTACGCCACCAGGGCCGCTTTTACCCTCTCAGCTTAACGGCTTTTATGCCGTAGCCTTACAGCACTCACACGTTTAACAAGTTGAACGGGTTCAAGGGTAAAAGCGGCCCTGGTGGCGTAACGGATAGCGCACTCGCCCGGAAAGCGTGAGGTGCGGGTTCGACTCCCGCCTGGGGCACGACTTTTGCCCACAACTCAGCATTCTTGTGATAACATTCGGAACGCGTACTGCGGCGTTAAACAGCAGTTATCATAACAAAACATTTACTGAATGGCCTTATTCATTATTCCTTATGTAGATTCATACCAAGGATGGAGAATCGTTAGAGGTCATGGAATGCTTCCTTATCATCATCAACCACCACCCTCAGTTGATGTTAGACGTTCGAAAATTAGTGGGTAGGTTCTGCAGGCCGTCGCTCCCCAAGAGGGCCCCCATGCATTGCACATTTACAAGGTCCGATTAATTCTTGATTGCTTGAACCGACTTAAAGCTGCCATAAGAGACGTCTTCCTTTGGTCTTATGTAGCACAAGTTTCAAGTTCCCTTTGTGATGCGCGAGCCGAGAAAAAGTGCAAAAAGTCGTTGTCAAAAACTTCCTTTGTGTAGATCGGACTTTCCATTTCAACGAAATAAAGAAAGACAAAAACCAATAAACAGTAGGATGGTAACGGCAATTATCTATTAAATAATGTAAGACACATTATGAAAAATTACCATGTTCCGTATAAAAATTTTCGTGAGAAAAAACGCCATTACTTATGGGCCAACCCACTAGTTGGTGAGCCAAGCTTGCGGGCAGGATATCTTCTCCAAAGAAGACAACTGAACATCCAATGAGCGCGAAACATGCCTTCAGAGACACAAACCACGCTCGACCAATTCATAGGATTCTTTCCTTTCCTAAGCGGTCCGATTTGCATTCTGAGAGATTGCCCAACTCTCGCGACCACGCAGTGAGCAATGACAGCACTGCGGTTGTGAATTGAAGGAAGAGCGCCTCAGTCATTAGGTGTGGTCTAACCTATGGCATCATCTCTTAGCTTACCCACTACCGCCCAATGTGAATCCCACTCTTCTCATATTCGGAATATAGACTTTACAACGCCACATCCGGACCACGTAGATCTCCCAAAAGGGGTCCGACACTTATCAAATAATGTTATTACCGAATAGAATGAGAATCAGAACCACTCGTATAGAGAAACTCACTTGTACAAGGATGACGCCAAATCCGGACAAGCTCAGTGCTCCCCACTGACATCTAGAAATCTCCTTTCCAAGCATCATGACGGACAATAAAGCTGTTGTCAGTATGCGTAGCTGATAAGTGACCTAAACGGCTTGAATCTAGTAAGGCTTAAATTCGCTTCCTGTTGTGTATTAGAGAGCAAAACAAAATTGCTGGGTTTGTGATTTTGAGAGCAAAGCCTCCATCATGCGCCATCACAGATAGTGGATTGGGCGTTCGCATATAGACCACAAGAGGCTGAGTAGTCGATAGCGAAGAAAAAAGGAAAAATTGTGCCCCCACATAGAATTCCATCCCAATCCCAGTTTGTACGTTCCCAATGAGCTCCATTTTTAACACTACCGCCCACACCTTATCCGCCCAGCCGATTTCCTGATAAGGACTCTACGACCGTTGCTTTTTCGCCCCGCAGCTCCTTTTCTCTCCAAAGGCGGGCCTCGAGGCGGAGTCACTGGAGAAAGGAGGCGTCACTGAACCTATATTGCGCTATAGCGCCCCTCCCTTACAATTTTTTGCCGCGAAACCGGTACAAGGTTGTTCGTCGCGGACCACACTACCCTCCCAACGCCATATTTTCAACTTCTATACCTGACTGCGGACCGTGCCTTCAAGGGCAATCAATAGAAACTGTAAGTGCTCAACAGGCCCTTCCATGGCATTCCTTGCTCAGCCCAAAACGATGCTTGTGTCATTTTGAGCTGAGGAAGGAACGCCATGGAAGGGCCTGCTGAGCAATAGCGTGGAACGTGAATGTCTAACCATCAGCTTTTCAAAGCCGATTCACTAATTACATATTTTTTGCTGTTTCACTACCTCCATATATTCCCACAATAGTGTTGAATTATTGCTTAGTTATTGAATGTCCACTCATGTTTTGAACTGAAAGCTCTCAATATTACCGTGTAAGTAGTGGCATCAATGTTGGCCAGAGCGATATAGTAGAGGTTATTCTGGATGGCATATGCGAAAGCTGGGATGCAGACCTGAACATGAACCTGAACTGTACAAGAAAGCCAGTCTCGCAAAGGAAGCCGGAGGTGAGATCTCCTCACCTTCAAGGTTTCCATTTTCTTTTGCCATATCGCATCGTAGAAGCCTTCGGAGCACAACTGAAATAAGATTGACTTGATCCACGAGGGGAAGTGGGCTCATGAAAGCAAGGAGATCTTGCCTTGTGATGTCGCCGCTGTCAACAAGGACCATAAATGAGCATGTGATGAGCTTGAGGATTTCCATGAAAAACACGCATGTTGTCGGCAGAAATGACCTGTCCTTTAAAACATACAGTACAACATATTTCTCACATTCCCTTCATTCAGAGGTCGATGACCACAATTATGAAGAAGCATCTTGTACTTCTATAACAAAAAGAGGGATATAGATTTTTGGCTGGCTGAGGAGATTAGCTTTTCGAAGCCCTCCACAGTGAGGCTGCTTGGTGAAGGTATAGATCGCATACATCGGTTGGAGGAGGTGTGACGAGGGCTGGATAAGCCCGCCTCCTGGCTGTCTGGCTCTACCAATGGTGATCGGTTAATGATCCATTCAGGAACAAAACATCTAGTTGGGTAAACGCCGCGGGTGGGGTCAGCCCACCCCACAAGGAATAAACTCGACTCATCTCAGTGACACCAGCTGAACAATTCGGTCACAAATGCATTCATCGAAGGAATTCCTATAGAACGAAATGGCCTTTGGTCTTTAATAGCATTCTGATCTCAATCATTCTGACTCAAATCATGCAAATATTGGAGTACGCGACAAATAATCCAAATATTAGGATACACAATCCCTCAGAGCAAAGGCAAAAGATCGTGAGAACATACAGTCGTCAGCCGGGATTTGATTAGGGTCGCAGTGCAGGTGCGGCGTGTCACGAGCGCGTCGATTAGCTGTTTCCAGCCTATTTTAGCCATTTTCTTCCTAATTTACGGTTTTGGCTGTTTTTTCGCGAATATTTGTTCCTTGTTTTCACGTGTTTCAACAAGGTGAATTATGATTGAGATTACTCCAAGTTTTTCCAAACAATTAAATAATTGAACAAACAATTAGACAATTACCTACAAAATCGCGAAAACACTTCATTACGAAAACAAACAAAGAATCGACGTGCATATCTTCACAAAGACGAAAAACATGTTACCTTAAAAAAATAAATAATACAGTGAAAATTAGGGAGAAAATGGCCAAATAGGCTGGAAACAGCTGATCGCCGCGGTCGTGACGCGCCGCAGCCGCGTCGCGACCCTTGCCGCCTTAATCAAGTCCGGATGACGACTGTATGTTGTTGACTGCTCGTGAGTTTGAAAAAAACATTGTGCGATAGTCAGCGAGAAAATGTACACACACTCGAGTTCAGACTGACTTTTTCGTTTTAAGGCTGTTTCATATCCAGAGTTGGCTGGCAAGGATGTTTATACTCAGTCCCGAGCAGCGGTATTGCGGAAAATCTGTCAGAAAGTTCTCGAGCTGGTTGGCTTAACACCGCAGCATTGTCACATTCAATCCGTTTTGTCGTTGTGTAAATTTCGAGCATTCACAGTCGCAGTGCTCTTCAGGGACTAAAGCTAGACTCGAGAAGCGTTGATTTAACACGTTCGCGGCGGCGTGTACTCCCGGGAGTACACGAAAAAACTCCGCTTTCGGCGAATCGTGTACTCCCGGGAGTACACGCGCCTATTCGCTGGTTTTTTGTATTTTCTTTTCTTTTTCCACTAACAATTGGATATAAATAATAACAAAAAAAATAGAAATGGAAATATATTAGGCAACCAAAAAAGTTCGTGCGGGTTTTTTTGTTTACTTTTATGAAGTATATTCAGTAAACTGGATCTAGTGGTAGGGTAACTTTGAATACATGTTAAGACATATGTCAAGGAGTGTCATTCAGTGTATTTGTTAATTTAGATTACTTTCAATTAAGGCGAACAGAAAAAAGGTGTGGTTTTCCACCAGGACAATGCTAGACCACGCACTGCAAGAATCACTCAGGAAACAATAGCGCGACTAGGATGGGAAATTCTACCTCACCCTCCGTACTCGCCAGACCTTGCTCCAAGTGACTATCATCTGTTTTTGGCCTTGGACAACCACATGAGGAATCGGCGATTTGAAAATGAAGTGGCTTTGGACAACGAACTAAAACATTTCTTTGATTCCCAGAAGCAAGATTTTTACAAAAATGGAATATATGCTCTTGTGTCTAAATGGGAAAGTGTATTACTTGCTGAGGGTAATTATTTTACGGGATAAATCCAAGTTTAACCCGTTTTTTATGTTATTATTTCGCTACCTTCAAACCGCACGAACTTTTTTGGTTGCCTAATAGAAATAAATAGAAATAGAAAAATAGTAATGGTATCCACGCTGTAGGAGAGGCGTGTATACCTGAAAAAATACCCAGAAACTTTGCTCTTTAGGCGAATCGTGCATTCTTGGGAGTACACGCTCCTCTTCTCTCGTTTTTTGATGTTTTTTCTTTTCACCGGCAATTATGAACGACAATATCCTACATAATATAAATCGCTAAGTTTGTTATTGGTGTGTGTGTGTGTCTGTGTGGTGTTGTGTTGTGTTGGTGTGTGTATGTGTGTTTGACCGGAAATTCATAACTTCCTTCAAAAGAGTGATAGAGCGCTCAAACTGATAAGTCATGTAGGGGGTCGTGCAGGAACACTATTGGTGGGTGGCAGGAACTGATAAGAGCTGATAAGATACCGCGAGCAGCCTTATAAGGGGAGGATCACCACATTCATAGCGCGGGCCACAGCAACGATGAGACCTTGGTTCCAGAAGTAAGATAGGGGGCAGGATGGGAACATTATTGGTGGGTGGCAGGAATTGATAACAGCTGATAAGATACCATAAGGAGCCTTAGAAGGTAGAGACACCTAACTCACAACGTCGACCAGCCAAAGACGGGACGTCGGTCCAAAAGCAAGATAAGTGTGCAGAATGGAACACAATTATCTGGTTTGGACAGGATATGATAAGCAGCTGCATCAGATAAACTCCGAAAATTCACAGCAGGGTTGTTGCAGCACTCTGGAACTGCTGCAGCAACTAATTCAGAGGTGCTCACGGAACATTAAAGGTGGGAGATAGATTCTGTCAGTGTCCGACAACGGCTTTTGGGACTCCGTATGTGCTCACATCATCCTGGCCAAATTTCTATTCTAGATATCAAATATCTCAGCTTAGCGGTCGGAATTGCTAAACGCTCGAGTTTCACCGGAAAGGAAATTGTTGGCCAGTGAGGAATGATAAGAGCCACTATGATTTCGACTTTTTTATTCGAGATTCTTCCCACCGCTATGCTGTCCTATCCCCAACGAATGGTGCTTTCACCAAACACTGGCAAATGTTCATTAAAATGGGGAAACATGATGAAATTGGTCGTCCTCGAAACATGAAAACATGGAATTAGGCTAAGTGTTAGTGCTCAGGACAAATCCTGTCAGTTATCGTAGTACCATGGGTTTAACCATGCGCGCAGTAGTGCGCGTCAGCCAGACTGGTAAAATAAATAATATACAAGTAATACAAAGAACATTTCTCGTGTATTTTTTGAAACCAGGTTAGGCAGTAGTGGTTTTTACAAGAGGAACTAAGAACTTTCACAAGAATCAAAGTCTACATCTTCTTTGTGCGGTACCAGTGAACATCAAAAAGGGCAAGAAAGCTAGTTCATTTACCGAAACTTAGATAAAACTTGTAGAAGGGAAAAATGTAAAAAGAATGGCGAAAAACGGCTTTCGTGAATTTTTAGGCGTTTATGGTTCCGTCGCGAGCGCGCAACCATGAACTGCCAAGTGTCGCCCGCCGCGAACGCGTCGCTCGACAAACGGGAGTTTTTGACGAAACGGCGCCGCCGCGAACGTGTTAAAGATCTTCCATTCAGTTCAAGAAGGGTTTAGTGTGTGGTGCATACAGGCAGACAACGAGTAAGATGAAGCCCAAATCACGAATACTTCAATGATACATTTGAAATCCTTGAGATGGGGTGGGCGTGGCTGCGTACTTCAACTAAACATGGAGGTTACTGTGTTCTTGGTGAGATCTTTTGATTTTGGACAAGTGAGGTATAGCTTTGTGCAACACAGAACAAGATGACAGTTGTCTCAACTGAAATATTCCACGAGTAACCCATCCTATACCATGTCCAAATGCCACGCCTACTCTGTCCCAGAGATAAGGAGTGTAAGCACTCAGCTCCCAATCAAGTTATGGTAACATGTACATAATGAACATTGGCCTCAAAACCTTGTTTCGTATGATCTAAAGTTTAGAAATCATTGCGGAATTACCTTGTTGGTTGCCGCGGACGAGAAATGGCATCCCGGTGTGCTGAATCACTAGAAGAGACATTGAGAGAAATTGCACGGAACATAGCTGATATTGAACCTGAAAGATTGGCAATTCAAATTAGCCAGATGCAAAGGAGGCAACAAGGGAATGTCCTGCATACTTTTGACAATGACTGCTTTTGGAGAAAAACTATGAAAACCCGGATTGCCGATCGGATCAATACGGACATTGCGTGTGTTTCCGAAAACGATAGGAATGCACACGAAGTGCATACGTGGATCACGCGTGGCATGGCAGATACCGCCCACGTTCCCAGGCAACAGTGGGATTCTTTGAGAATTTTTCGCTACGAGAAGAGCAGGCATTTTCGGTGAAGTAAAGCTTTTAGGGAGTGTGGTGGTCACCGAGATGTACAGGAAGCTTTGAGGCACTTCGTTCTGGTTTTGGGCTTTTCTTCTCCTTAAGAAACTTTTGATGAATTCAAACTTTTGAGAAATTCAACTTTTGCTTCAGAGTGTGATTCCTGATGAGCCTTCATGGCACCGTAATGTGGAGAAGAACGTTGGGTTGAGCGAATTGTGTGCGGGGCCTTTCGAGCTGGATATGCCGTGCAGTTCTAGGTGAGACCAAACAAATCAGCGGCCCTCTGGAGCATTAGTTTTTCCGAATAAGTCAATCCTTATATTACACTGAAAAAGCCTTGCGACACCTTGACCGAAATTTCTGACCAAATTCCACCTCACTAAGCAGCCCCCCCACC